GACCATCACCGCGCTCCTGCAGGCCTTCATGGATTTCCAGATGCAGCGCATGACCTCGGCCTTCATCGACCACTTCGGCTTCAACGACGAGGAGTTTGGGGAGCAGGAGGAAAGTGTGAAGTGAGTGTGCTGCCGCAGGAGGCTGCCTGCGCGTGGCTTCTGCCATCCCCGCCCCCGGGCCTCCCTGGTCGCTGGGAGTGTTGGGAAGGGCCACCTGGCCCCGCTCCAGGGGCCTGTTCAATGGCCAGTTCTGCTTGTTGGTATTTGTGGCGGCAGCACCTTAAAATCGCCTCTGGTGTGTGGGCATGAACATTCTTTCCATCTTCCGAATTTCCTGCCACAGGCACCTGCAGCTTTTACAGTCAGAAAAATTCCAGTTGAGGAACGTTTTTGTAAACTGTATGGGCAGCCTTGTGATAGCACCACATAGCGAAGGGGCAGGAGCGGCCAGCTGGCACCACCTGCCCAGGGGGCTCCTTGCTGAGTCTGGTCCTGCCACTGTCAGCCCTCGGCCAGGAAGGTCACTCAGGGCCTGGTCTCCTTGGGTGGGGTGCTCCTCGGGGCCACGGGGCCCCCAAGGGAAGTGTCCGCTGAGTGCAAGAAAGAGGTCACTTTTGAAGAATGAGCCTGTGATGCCCTGAGGCGGGCAGTGGGCTCCAGGGACGGGCAGGCGGGCACAGCTGAGACAGGGTTCCTGCTCCGCTCGGTCCCCTCGGGCACCTCTGTGAGGGCTGGGCAGGCAGGAGGCGAGGGCAGGACCTCAGCTCTACGAATGTCCCCCCATGGCGGGCCTGCGCCACGAGCGGGGAGTGTTAGCGAGTGGGGATGGTTGCAGAGACGCAGCTGTGGATAGCGGATAGCCAGGGCGCGTGCGTGAAGGAAGGAGCAGCAGGAGGCAGCCTGTCTCAGCCTCCTCCCCGCCCCTGCTCCTCCCCCAGCGCACCTTTCGACAAGACGGCCAACATCACCTTTTCCCTCAACGCCGACGATGAGAACGTGAGTGGCGCCCCAGGCTCTGGGGGTGGGGGCTGTGGGCAGTGCCGCCCACCCACCCTGCCGCCTGCACCCCACAGCCCAACACCAACCTGCTGGAGATTTGCTACAAGGACCGGATCCAGCAATTTGATGACGACGAGGAGGAGGAGGGCCAGGGCTCTGGGGAGTCCGATGGGGAGGACGGCGCCTGGCAGGGCAGCCAGCTGGCCAGGGGAGCCTGCCTGGGCCAGCCCCCAGGTGTGCGGTGAGTCCGCCCCCCTCCCTTTCCGGGCCTTGTGGCATCGCGGGGGCTGCGGGGCCCACGTGGAGCAGTTCTCATGGGCTCGAGTGCACAAGCAGCCCGTGGTGATGGAGCATGTGTGCCAGTTGGGCCTCTCGGTGCTGAGGGATGGACTGATGACGACGAGGAGGAGGAGGGCCAGGGCTCTGGGGAGTCCGATGGGGAGGACGGCGCCTGGCAGGGCAGCCAGCTGGCCAGGGGAGCCTGCCTGGGCCAGCCCCCAGGTGTGCGGTGAGTCCGCCCCCCTCCCTTTCCGGGCCTTGTGGCATCGAGGGGGCTGCGGGGCCCACGTGGAGCAGTCTCATGGGCTCGAGGGCACAAGCAGCCCGTGGTGATGGAGCGTGTGTGCCAGTTGGGCCTCTCGGTGCTGAGGGATGGACGCCCCGCGCTGGTGGGTTAAGCTAAACAGGAGTCGGGTCACAGCTGTGGCTGCAGCTCACGGGGCTCCTTCAGGTCCGGCTGATCCAGGTGCGTCTGCGACGGGCCTCCACCCTCCGTCCCTGGACTCCGCTCTCAGGGCGGAGCTCATGCAGGTGTTCCCAGAAAGGCAGCAGATGGTCCCACCAGCTGCCCCCTCCCCCCATTTCAGTAACATGACAGGTGGTGATGGTCCCTTCCTCACAGGCCGGGCGTCAGGAAGCTGTGACAGCTCCTTGCGCGACGTTGCGTTGTTTCCCTCCATACTGGCTGGCCCAGTGTCCCTGCCCCGGGCGCCTGCCCTGGAGGGTTCCTGGTGGGAGCAGCTCTGCCCTGGGCTTCTGGTGGGAGCACTAGAGGGTTTTACCTTTTTAATGACATGGACCAAGCATGCAGGCTCGGATGTGAATCCTGAGGTTTGGCCAGTCCCTGTCCCCCTGCGGACTGCTGCCCGGCCCCCTGCTGGGTAGGTGGGTGTGGCTCTCTGCGCCTGAGGGCCATCGCTGTGGGGGTGCTCCCTGGCCCTCCCAGGGGTGCCGCTGTGTGAGCAGCCAAGGCCCAGGTCGTGCTCCCCATGTTTTCCTAAGAGTTTACAGCGTTGGCTCTCACGTCCGGGTTTGGTCTCCTCTGAGCGGCGGGCGGGTCCACCTTCATTCTTTCACGTGGGCAGCCCCGTCCCAGCAGCCCTTGCTGAGGAGCCTGTCCTTTCCCCACGACTGGGCATTGGACTGCGTGAGGGTCTGTCTGCCCTCTGTGTCCTGGCCCGGCGGCCCGATGGCCATGTTCGTGCGCACACTGCCCGGCCTGGATCGTGTTGTGTTGCAGCAGGTGGTGAACCTGGGAGGTGTGAGTCCTGCCGCTGGTTCAGGGTGTGTTGAAGGTTCAGAGTCCCTTGGGATTTCCTGTGAATTTTGGGATCCACTTGTCAGTTTCAGCGAGAGCGGCCTTGGCCCTCCGCTGGGGGTGGCGTGTGTCCTGGTCCCTGAGCTGGGGTGTGTCTCCATGAATTTAGGTATTTTTAGCTTCCAGTAGCGTTTTGAAGTTTTCAGAGTGTATGTTTTGTTTCTTTTGTTGAATTTATTCCTAAGTGTCAGGTTCTCTTCAGTGCAGCGGTGGATGGAGTTGTCTCAGTCACTGAGGAGGCACAAGTGGATAGAAACGCAGTAGCTTAGGGCATCGACCCGCGTCCCGTGCCCTCGAGGAACTCCCCATCCCTCAGCATTTCCTGCTAGTGTTAAGGCGCCTCTGGGGTCGGGTTCCTCCTTCCTCCGGCCTGGACAGCGTGGAGCAGAAGTGGGGGCGTCTTGTTCCTGATGTGGGGGGACTGGGTGTGGTGCGCGTGGTGGGTTAGGAGCGGCCCTTTCAGGTTGCAGAAGCTCTCTGTCGCCATTTGCCGAGTGTCTAGTCTCAGTGATAGCAACATGCTCCTTCCAGCCTCGGAGACGGGCCATGCGCTCAGCATTCGCTCAGCCGCCTCGTCGGTGGGCAAAGTGGCCGGGTGACTTGGTCGTATCTCAGTCACGTCAGTGTTTTTGGAGCAGCTGCACGTGCTAACGTTGCTCTCAGCCAGGGACACAGCGGTGACAAGAGTCCCTCCCAATCCCCAGCCAGTTTGGCCCATGGGCTGACGGGTCCTGGGTTAGACTCCAGTCAAGGGCACATACCTCGTCGCAGGCTCAAGCCCTGGCCCTGGCCCTGGTCGGGGCGTGTGCGGGAGGCAGCCAATTGAGGTGTCTCTCTCGCATTGATGTTTCTCTCTCCCTGCTCCCTTCCGTTCTCTAAATATCAGTGGACCAACATCCTCGGGTCAGGATTAACAACAACACAGAGTCCCCCGAGTTTGTCGCTGGGGGAAGCGTGTCCCCTGAGAGGGCGGTGTGCTGGGGAGGGTCTGTGAGGGAGGCGGGTGGGGCCTGCCTGCCCTTGTGTGGTGGAGGCTGTCCCCATCCCCAGGAACTTCCTCCACCCCTTTTATTATCTGTTGTTCCTTCACAGATGCTGGGGGTGGGGGGCAGCCCTGGGGCGTTGGGAGGTGGGGACGGGCGCTTCCCGTTCTCCCTGCCACCAACAGCGCTCATGCTGGTTTCTGGGGCAGGAGTGGAGGCAGCACAGATAGCGAGGACGAGGAGGAGGAGGACGAGGAGGAGGACGGCGAGGAGGACGGCCAGAGGGCCCAAGATGGGGCCGGACCCCCCTCTTACCCCAGCCCTGGCCCCCAGCCTCCCAGTGAGTGACCACGCCGGCTGGGGGGTCCGGTGGACACAGGGTCTGCCTGTCCTCACTGCTGCCCTGCTCTTACCCCAGGCCCCAGCTGGGCAGCCGCCTTTGACCCAGTGCCTACAGACACCCCGACCGGCCCCCAAGACTCTGGGGAGAAGGAGCCGCGCTCTGGGCCCCCTGCCCCTCAGG